GACATGCTGCGTCGTTGTCCATTTTACTACGCAGTGCGCTTCCTTATGACTGAAATAGGTTTCTACATTATCTTAACCGATACGCGCATGTCTGACAACAGCATGGGAGTGCCGCTTGTCGTTTGCAGCAGTTTGGTACAAACACTCGATCACATGACTCCTTTGTTTCGATGTTCTGCTTTATAGTGCGTCAGTGTCTTGTACTATCGTACTGGCCCGGGAACGGGGGAGGTAACTGTAACGTGCGGTGGCATTCGTTGTAACCTGCGGTGGAAACTTCGTCCTGAGAGTATGATGAGTAGTCTTACTCTATCACCCAGCAAGCTGCCCATTGTCGGTTTTTTTTTTTTCACTAATAGCGCTTGGCACTGGTGGGGTTCCTCCATTTCAGCATCGTTCCGGCCATGACCCATTGCTGAGAAAGCGCGCCGTTAATGAAGACTGGACATCACCTGACTAGAAAGCGAGATTGAGTTATATATAAAGCTGGGCCAATAAGTATCAGCTCACCATTTTGTATTGCTGCAAAAGAACAACGGAACAATGTAGAAGGCAAGGAAAGCAAGAAAGAGACGTAAGGTTCACCATACAATTATCAATCTAGATTGGTTGTAAAGAAGACATCGACTCATCATTAGCCGATCTTATGCCCCCTGCAGTACAAACGCTTCTACCAGTGCTTTGCAACCCAGCGCTATCCTTTGCTAGTAGATTTCATGTTATGCCTCTAAATTTTGTAATTTTTTTGCTACGCTTAAAATTGCGCCTTAGGCCATGTTTCTCATCTCTTGCTATTCATTCCAAAGCTCCAACAATGCATTTCTTCAACTCGTGACGTCACGCATCAAGAACCTTTTTTTCATCTTGTATAAGCTGTCCTAAATACCCCATCTGTTAGTTGCCTGGTAAACTCTGATGGCTCCCTCGCACTTAAAGTTACGCCTGCCATTTTTCGTTACACCCTACCCTCAAATGTATTTAGCTTCTCGAGTTTCCTTGTAGTTATACAAGCCACTTTCCCATATGGCAAAACTTGCAGGTATTAGGACAATGGCGCCGCCGATCTCAGTTTCAAAAAGCAACGAAAGCGCTGTTGCATTTCCTCAAAAACACCGTTCGGGTTCATCGCTTGTGATGTGAACCGTAAAACTGCTACGCGTCTGCAGTCAGTGACTTTTTTCTCGTCTTTTATAACTTTCCTTTCCCTTCTCCTCTTCACCAGTGCAGGGTAGCCTACCAAGGCTCTGCCCTGGTTAACCTCCCCGCCTTTGTCCTTATTCGTTCTCTCTCTTTCTCCCTCTTTGACAGAATACAATTGTTGTTTTACAATTCACCCTTTTTGACAGAGGTGAACGACGCCTAACCATGCCGTTCATAGGCCAGATTTATTTACATAAGCTGGCTCACTTGTTAATATTAAGTATGGACAGGCAGTGCTATAATAATTCAATGGTGTGGTCGTTTAATACGCGCTCGCGCTCTACAACCAGTCTACCTAGCATTATCTCAGTCTTATACTTATTCATTTTAATGAAACTTTAACGCCTTCTCAAGTTGTATCTCCAGTATTTTTTAAGGAGCTTCATTGCAAACATTGATGGTCTGTCAACTCTAAATTACGAAGCTAGTCTTTGTGCCGAAAATATGCAAGGCCCACATTACCTCTGCTCGTGATCACGTCTTTCTTTCGGCCCCACATATTACTGTCAAAGATATCTCACACATAAGAAAGCAGCCTAAACACGTGGCTTCAGACGTATAATGCAATGATCAGACTGTCCAGCAACACGTTTAGTGCGTTCTCTCGCGTTATCGGAGCTCATTGATACCAGCCTGATCTTCGTCTTGCTACTGAATTTGTTGAAATGGTGCTTGCTATCCGACGGTAGTTAATGTTGTGGTTTCAAAATTAGATGTATGCCTTCTGCGTTTTTCTCGTAGCCAGAGCTACACCTGGTCATCTTCAGGTCAGTTATCATTGCTACGAGCAAATTAGCAGGAAAACATTTTTTAAAGAAGTCCTGGAGAAACCTTAAAATGCAATTGTGCCTCAACAAAGTAACGGGATTATGACTTTCGAATAGCAGAAATAAATCAGCAGATGGCCGTATGCGAGTGCGTGCACACACATGAATGCGCAATAGCACATTGATGTGCGCACTCACTCACTCATTCAATCAATCAATCAATCAATCAATCGATCGATCAATCAATCAATCAATCAATCAATCAATCAATCAATCAATCAATCAAAGAAGCCTACATAAGCCACGTCTCATATTAGTACACAAATTTTGCAAGGCAGTAAGCTGACAGGTTCATCTTCGTTGGTACTATAAGTATTTATAGTTACAAAATGCTTCTACACAATCCTGAAAGGATGGCAGCTTTTTAGGTAAGGATATGCTGCAGCTACAACCTCAACGAAATGACAAAAGAAAGAACGCAAACAATGTTACTCGGATGTACCCGGTCAAGGAGAGGTTGCGCAGCGCGCTGCTTCAGAAAGCCCGACCCCTTTTCTGAGCATCAAGTACACGGACTGCGAAATGGTTTCCGAGCATAGTGAGCTAGAACAGAGCTTACAGCTCTCTCGCGCGAATTCACAAAACACCGTCACGGTCCTGGCCGTGAACCTCTTTCTCGCTCCGGAACCAGTGCACCGCTTTTGAGAGCACGCTCAATGTAGGCACGAAAAAGAGCCAGCTTGCGGGTGTAGTAAAACGTGTGACCCCGTAAAGTGCAGAATATGTGTTTACAAAGTACAGGAGACCACACGAGAAGGTTCGCTGCACACCACAAACAGTGCAATAACCAACCTTCGGAGCAAGCTGCGAGAGCATGTACCCACGAGAGCTCGCGTGCGACATTTTTCGTAGTCGTATGCATGCTCAGGGTTCTCCTAATGGAGGGAAAGTGACTGGGAGGTTATAATAGTGCATAAAAGAAGAACACCTGAGAATTTATACCATTTAGAGCAACTCGAAGAAACCAATATCAGAAATAGTTCAAAAGTACCGAACAAAAAACAAATGTACTTCACTGTTAACCGGTATGTTTCAAAACAGTATTTTCGTGTTTCACTACAATTTTTTTGGCAAAACCTTTCTGAAAACAGTTCAGTATTTAAGCCACAAGATCACCTTAGACAGTTTATTGAACTTTCACGTTTTGTGCAAATACTTAAATTGGCGTGATTAATTGTGCTTCTACAAACTCAGTATGGTGTGGACACAATTCTATGTAGTGTGGACACAATTCTGTGTGATGTGGACACTCAGTGTTGAAAAACATGAACTCATTGTGTAAGTGTTTTGCTATGTACATATGTATATCCTTGTGTTTGCTACAAAATCTGCGATGTCGACTTTTCTGCAAGAGAAGAGGAGTAGCCGGCGCCACGCATTGGCACCAAACTTTCCTTATATACATTTAATTAAAAAAGGGCCCAATATACTCCTATGTAGCGCTGACACGCGCGAACGCTGAGCACAGGGACGCAACGTTAGCAGATCGTGATCACTCTATAGTCGGACGTCAGGCGCGACCAACGTCCGTCGGCGCGGTCCGATGGCAACCGGCGCGAAATGTGACATGCTGCATTTTGCGCCGATGCGTTACCCAGACAACACTGTCTCTCTCTCTTTTCGTGACGGAGGGACGCCGGATGCGCTAAAACACACATACGTCAAAGCAACCTGGTGCTGCGCGCGCCTGCGAGTATAAGACAGGACTGTGCCGGCGTGACGCCGGCGTGACGTAACAAAATGAACACCGGCGAGCACGCGCACAGCGTCACGTCGAAATGTAATGGCGCCTTGACTGAGTCATGTAGTCATGTTGTTACATGACACTTATCGTTTGTCATGTTTGCACAAGTATCATACCTTCGTCATCCATTCACGTCCCGTAATAACAAATTTGGTATAAGTGAAGCTAGCGAAATGGCCACTAGCGCATCATGAGCGTGTCATGTAATATTGTGTTACATGACACGCATATGATGATTTTTATGTTAAAGTCTGTCGCTTGCGTTCGCCATGCAATCACGCCATACCATACGAGTTTTGCAACATGTCATGTGAACGATACCACTGCAAGAGCTGCAGGACCATGAAACGTAAATCATGACATTCATGACATACATTTCATCATTTTCATGTTATTTATACAGTCGTGCTATGTCATACCCAATTAGGTATTGATACCATTATCGAAAAGGCCAGGAGAGCTAAAAGTCATAGGCGGCTAGATAGATAGATAGATAGATAGATAGATAGATAGATAGATAGATAGATAGATAGATAGATAGATAGATAGATAGATAGATAGATAGATAGATAGATAGATAGATAGATAGATAGATAGATAGATAGATAGATAGATAGATAGATAGATAGATAGATAGATAGATAGATAGATAAGCTCGACGTCACCGAATTTCGCTAAGAAATGCTTCGCAATTAATAATCTACTATAGGAGTCTGCAAAAGTAACCCCGTCACTCCCACAGGTTGGCAACTTCCACTATCCTATCACTTGCAGAGAGAGTGAAAGGTTGTTTTTTATTAATGTTGCTGCTGTAGGAGTGGTCACGGAGCGTGTGAGAAAGAGCGAGAGAGAAGTCAAGAATGAGATGTGAAAAGAGGCAGGTTGACACAACATGAATTCCCAGTTTCTTCCCCGACGCCAGCGGAACAGAAGAGGGGAAGAATCGATGCAGAGATAAAGAAGATATGCGAAAAAAAAATCAGACCTCTGGCATCTATGAAATATTTGGTCTCTTTTACATTCGATTAAAATATACAAACCAAATCAACGCATAGATTTTTATAGGCTTGCGTCGGAGCTGACATGTTACTTAGGAAAAGCAAGGCTAATTTCCAGAGTCCTCTACTACGGCGTATCTCAAAATGTTATGGTAGTTTTGGGACGTAAAAAATGCTAAGAAATGCTTCGCATTTATTAATCTACTATAAGAGTGTACAAAAGTAACCCCGTCACTCCCACAGGTTGGCAACTTCCACTGTTGTCAATCCTAGTATCAGAAAAGGTAGGGCTATATGGTGCTTTACACTGTGTAGACCGTTTGCTAAGTATGAGCCATTCAGCGCGGCCTCCAAAATTCGACACACTGCTTTGGGCCACCTCACAGTCTAAGAGTCAACTCACTAAGAATGAAGAGCACAAGTTTAGGGCCGAGTCCGTGCCCGCGTTCACACACGCCACAACCAGTGTCGAAGGGGCTCCCTTTAATGACGCCGTCTCGCTGACACGTCGTTCCGAAGACGACCCGCTCGAGAGATTCTTATCGGTAGCACGACTCACTTACGAAATCGGAGGAGAATTGGTGGCAAACGAAACAGGAAGGTAAACAGCGTCCTTCTCGCCGCAGTCAGCATGCTCGCGTTTCCTTGAAAAGGCGCGAGCTTCGCGGGCATTATCACCTGCCTGACGGACCGACGTACTACTTCCTCATCGGCCAGATATCGGATGCAGCTGTTTGCGAGATGTCCGGTTTGGGCTGAGGTGGGCTTCGCTCGAAACGGGAGATTAGGAAAGGTCTCCCTCAGTCAAGTAGACGATTGTTAGGTTAACAGAAGTAACTGGGGAGGGCACCAGCATTATACAGAGCTTGTATAATGCTGGTGCATTAATGCGGTGCATTTCTATTCACGAAATTGGTGTGTATATTTCTGTTATGGTTGTGACAGACACGTCGGACTCGTCTTATTAACTGGCTCTCACAGAAACGTGAGCAAGACCTCGCGTAGGGCTATTTTGTTTGACGGGTTGTGCGGGTTTTTAAGCCGGTAGAAAAGCCTAATTGCCTGAAAACATGCTTTATTGAATATAATAATAATATTATTATTATTATTATTATTATTATTATTATTATTATTATTATTATTATTATTATTATTATTATTATTATTATTATTATTATTATTATTATTATTATTATTATTATTCAAATAGCAGTGGTAGATTTCCCGCGCGCACCAGCTAAACACTTGGTATACGGTTTCGGTGCTGTTACAGACCCATATGCTGTGTAACGTAACAACTTATATTTATTACTTTTTCATACACTTTTATTACTTTTTTCCACTTTTTCATACAAAATTAAAAATAGTGAACTATCTCGAACCACATCATACAAATATCTAGGGGTTATTATTGACTCTAAACTTTCATGGTCTTCCCACATAACTTCCATTTGTTCCAAGGCATCCAAAACACTAGGTTATTTACGTCGAAATCTCCATTGCTCCACATCGAGCGTCCGCAAATTAGCCTATTTAACATTCGTACGTCCACAGTTAGAATATGCCTCACCAGTTTGGTCACCTTATCAAAACTATTTAATACAGATGATCGAAGCCATTCAAAACAGGGCAGCCCGCTTCATCACTCAGAACTACCAATGTCACAGCAGTGTATCTCAAATTAAACGCGAGATCGGTTTACAACTATTGGATATCCGCCGCAAGATAGCCCTCCTTGTATTGTTTCACAAGTACATTAATAGCAGAAATCAATGCGCTTTCCCTCTACACACACCGGATCGCATGTCTGCACGCATGCGAAATCAGCGCAGCTTTAAGCGTATTTTTGGCAGAACACGCGCGTTCAACTTATCTGCTTTGCCACAGGCAATCTCACTGTGGAATGATCTTCCCGACGAGATAGTTTCAGTCACTAACAACAACGCGTTCCGCGAGAAACTACTCTCTCATTACATCTAGCATCATTTCATAGACATTTGTATGGAGGTGCATGTACTTGGTGACTATATTTTCATTGTTCTATTACTGTGATTAGTGTCGCTGTTATGTTGCATTTATTTGTATATTTGAATTGTATACGTTCTCATTTTTCTTTCTTTTTTTCTGTAAGCCCCCCTTACCCTATGCTCTAACGAGAGCCTGTAAGGTATGTTAAATAAATAAATAAATATTAAATACACACTGATCTATATACACACTGTTAACCCACGCATATTTGTTTTGCGCATGTGAATAAAATTTAAGTTAAGAACCGGCGCTTCATTTTCGTGTTCTTTTCGCGTGCTTTCGTCTTACCTTCTGGCACCGTTTCGATAGACACAAAACGGTTTCATGTGTTCGAGTTTCTGCGCAGGAGTTGCAACTGTACAATGAATATGACGGTGACACATAACTATGCCTGCCGCTATTTCTTACGCGCCCAGATTTACTGAGCCTCGTTTGCCTCACCTAAGTGCCAGCGAGAGTCCTGAAATTTGGAAACGACCATGTACACTCGCCCCGAAGTGCGCAACTTATCGATCCCAACAGGATTGTCTGGCCGACACATCCGATAAAAGTGCACGTTCTTGACAGGGTCTTCTCCACCACAGCCCTAGTGTACATTTTCTAAAATCAGCATGACGTCTTTCGCCTGTGGGTGTACATGCTCCGGTAAAGCACCGAGGAATGAGGCTTACAGTGCTTCTTAAGTGATACCATTGCGGTGTGGCACGTTTCTTAAATAGCGGTAGAGCGAGCGCGGTTTCTGAAACTTACATTCTAGCGACCTCCACAGTATTTGAGTTCGCAAAACATCGGGATCACTAGACCACGAGTTACGCACTGGTAGCTCTACCGAATGATCACTAAGTGTGACAAACTCTTCAATCGCCCTTTTTCTGCCTGGACGGGCAATGTCGTGAGCGGTTTGCCAGAAGCGCAGGATGCAATTCTCGTGACTGAAGATGTTGCTCACTTTTTCGTCAACCAGCCAAATGGCATCGCAACCAGCCAAATGGCATCGCAGATCATCGTCTCGGCGACGCCCGCGAAGTGATGGCGGTAAACGGTTTTGTGCAGCCGGCTTCGAGTGTGAAAAATTATCGTTCACGTTCTCCAATTCATTGCCGCGGGAGGCGATGTGCGCTTCCCCATGCTCGGCAAACGCTACGCAAGCGCTGCTTACGAGTCTTTCGTACTGAAACCCACATGTCACGTCCACAGCGTGCGAGTCCCGCAGGTAGTAATCCCACTTGTCCACGTCAAGACCTGAGTTGAGGTTGCAGACTATTTGAAAGAGGAATCGTCGGGAAGGCGGGGTATCACGTACGTTACCCAAAATGAGATCCTGGACTAATTTTAGGTCCTCACTGGTCCCTGTTTGAAGTGCAGTTCCCAGGCATCAAAGATTTCTTGAAGACCATGAACGGACAACAGATGCCGAAGGAGCGTACAGGACATAGTCTCGTGGCTCAAAACCGGCGCGAGGCCTCTGCTGACGGCTCCTGAGTGGTAGAACGACTCCCACACATGTGAAAAAGGCCCATGACCCAAGTCATGGCACAGGCCAGCCTCTTCCAAGAACAGTAACTCCTTGTCTGTCATATTCAGCTCGGGTTGGCGTTCCCGTAGACGTGATCCCAAGAGCCTGTCCAAATGTGCCGTTCCCAGGCTGCACTCGAAACGCGTGTGTGAGGCTCTCGGATACACATAATTAGCCGTACCCCAAACCCGTCTGATGTGGTGAAGCCACTGGAACTAGGATGTGTACAAGATGGCCACCTATACTGGGTGAAGGGAAATCTCTCCATGCACGGGTTCCCAAATGAGCTTGCGAGGTGGGAGATGGTGCAGAAGACGCCGTTTTGCAGAGGCGTCATCGTCGGTCTAAGCAGTCGTCACGGGGACGACTGTCAGCGGCTTCCTTGCTCTCATGTCTATTTACACGCCGGTTTCATATGTCTTTCAGCTTCTGGTAGAGGTGTTCTTATATAGCCTGCTTACAACAGTGTTGTCTTACCACACGTAACTTTGACGTGGGGTGTCTGTTCTTTTGCTCTGACCTTCGCGCGGTCATTTGATATTGTGGAAGGCGAGCTTACACGTTGTTGACACATATGATTGCAGAAACTTTGTCGTACTTATCTTAATGGGGTCGTCCCTGCAGCCTCAGATACGCCTGTTTTCTTTATTGCAAATAAGTGCTTAGGAAAAAGTGTGTGCAGGGATAAGTGTCTTGAGGGTCAAGTAACGCTTGGTCAGCCGCCAAACCTCACTGCGTCTTCTTGATAACAACCCGAAACTCCGAAGGAGAACCCGAAACATTGAAAATTCACATTGTAACTCGAGAAGACGAAATAGATCAGGCCACACGCCTCTTCAAACCATTTAAATTCTTTTTGTGTCTTTCGATTGCGGTGAAAAAAGGCAACTTGCGCATCTTGCCACAACGGGCGTACCCCTTACAAAAGTTCTTACGGATAAAGTTAGCAAACATCATTGATCAATATTGACAAATCGTATAGCAAAGCAATTGTCTGTTCATTGAAGTATGGTTATTTACATTGTTGGAAACTATCGAAAATTGGCCACCAGCATCTTACTGAAATTTAGTTGGAGATTATTATGCTGAATCGCAGCAGGAGAGGGTTAGAAAGAATATAAGAAAGGTAGGAATCTTAGCTAGACTACGTTCTATTTGCTGTCCTACACCTGGAGAAAGGGTAATAAGAGGTAAAAAAAAGAGAGAACAGAAGAGTCACATTGCACACCTTACACACACACTGTATAGGTTTCACAGACGGTGCAATGTGCACTGCGAACTAATTGTGATGTTTCCGTTGAATACTCACCGAGTTAAAATAAAACGAGTATTAAAATTTTATCCTAACGGTACTTTATACAAAATATCTTTTCATAGTGTGTATAATGTTGTAGAAGTACAGTTGAAAGTACGGTACCTGCATATGTCACTTCCCCAGTTCTGCTACTGCTTAGACGCAACTGAACATTACATAGCGCTTTTTGTTGGTATTGAAATTTCAAGACGAGAACTTTGGCTACCTTGTGAAAGTGTTATCAAGTTTTTGCTTGTTAACTCTAAGAAATACATTATGTTAAAAATTCTCTTTCATGAGCACAAATCAAAATGGGTAATGGTGTTGTCAAGAAATGTGCTAGCGAAAACTTTCTTTCGTGTTATAATGCTAATATTCATGAAAACGCGAGTGAACCTAACAGCAAGGTTAACTGAATGAGAACTAAAGGCTGGTGCACACCGGCGACTAGTAGCAGTCGTGCGACCATTCGTGACTGGTGACCAAAAAACGACTGATGCTCACACCGGCAGAGGCTGCATGCGAGCGACCAGAAGTCGGAAATCCTGAGAGTCACGCCCGGATTTCGTTATCAGCGAGAACTCTGGAGACCGGCGCCGATCAGCTGATCGCCGCCAGCTGAGTGAGCAGAGCCCATCGAGCACGCCGCATCTATTGTTTTTGTCCGTTCTCGCACAGCGTTCCCAACAGCGTCAAGAAGTTTGATTCAAGCGAAGAACAAGAGATTGTCAAGGTACTGGTCCGCTGTGCCATGTTGTCAGCGCTGGCAGTACAGATGCCTCCAAAAAAAAAAAAGAGCCGGTGGTGGGTGTGACCGTCCCTTCGATCGCGAGAGTTGGCCGGCCATGCAAGCCGCCTACCTCCAGAGCAGCGCTGAGACGACGAGGAGTATTTCCGAGAGTCGTACGTATTCACAAACGTTCTTGAATATATATTGACTTGCCACAGCCTCCAATGCAGCACAAACGTGTCTCAAACACGGTGTCTTAAGTCGTTGCCAAGGCATGAAGCACAAACGCATTCCAAACGCACTGCATTGAAGGCGGTGACAAGTCAAGTTCAAGACAAAAAAGATTCTGAATACGGGAAAAGATAGTGCACAATTTATTTTCTGCTTACTTTGACGGTGTTTAGCTTCTTGCGAAAGCCGCCGTGCAAATTTGAAACTTTGGTCCAGCTGCTGCACCCTGCCATCTCTGAGCCAAATATTCCATGGTGGCCTTGGTGCCACAGACCTAGAGGAACGCACGCGTTTGTATCTGGCGGCAGGCTGCCAGCGCAATGAAAAAAAAAACGAAAATTGAGCATCGATTATTGTTGCCAGGAGCTTTGCGACGGCAGTCACGTGACTGCAAAATCGGTCAGGAAGTGACTAGCCAGAGCAGTCGCTTTGCGACCAGTCGCAAACAGTCACGCGACCGCTGCAAGTCACCGGATTGCACCAGCCTTAAGTTATCAGGACGAGGGCACGGGCGCAAGTTGAATTGCACGCTCACAGACACTCGGAGAAGTCAAAATTTTCAATTAATTGTGTGATTTTTTTTCGTGCCCCAAAATACCAGGAAAAGGAAGCCTGCTCACATCTACCTTTATTTGTGCCAAAATCTGCAAATAACCCCACCACCAGAGATGAGAGTCCTAGTATAGTTCGTGAAGTTCCTGTTTCGAAATATAAAGGGTGTGTGGCACCAGCAAAAGACGACCAGAAAAGAAAATCGTTCCCGAAAATAACACCTAAGAGAGGATGACGTGAAAAAGTGAAAGCTTGATAACAGCGGGTAACTACAGAGGGACGAACATGGTACAATTCACAAGGATTAGGCGACGAGCAACAACGTTTTTTTCACAGCATCTACTGAGAACACATACGAAACGGCTCACATACGAACACATACGGAACACATACGAGGGACGCCCAAGCCACGCCATAAGGAACGTCTTAGCGTCTCAAGTTGTCGTTAGCGTCTCACGGCGTCTCTGGGCTGGCGGACGCCCGTCATGGCAAGCCAGCCCCCGAAGAAGGCGCTAGCCTTCGACGTAGTCGTCCCCGAGGGGACTAGTCCCGAAGACGTCGTTGACGCGACGTCTTCAATAGTAGGAATCGAAGAAGTATACTGCGTTCAGCACTTTGGAGGCCGGAACTACCAAGTTACCGTCAACAGTGAGGCCGCACTGGCCCAAATCGTAGACGCGTCGCACCTCATCATCCGAGGAGAGCGCGTCGCCATCGTACCCCTGGGACCCCAAGTGACCCAAGTGACCGTCCTGTTCCTGCCGTGCCGTGTACCCAGCGAAGTCCTCGCACAAGCACTCTCTCCCTACGGGAAGGTGCTGCACATCACCAGAGGACTCATGGGATCGCGCCCAACCGTGACCACTGGGACGCGATACGTCCGCATGGAAATGAAGGCTTCGTCACCGGTGCCCAACTACCTCAAGGTCGCGGGCCATCGAGTAACCTGTGACTACAAAGGCATCCAGCGAGTGTGTCCGTCGATGTGGAGACAGTGGTCACTTCCGCATGAACTGCACAGCTCCATTTTGTGGAAGGTGCGGCGTTTATGGCCATGACGGGAAAGGCTGCTCGCTGCCGTGCTCGCCGTTGTGGGGACCCGCATGCCACCGTGGCCTGCACCATCAGGCCATCGTATTCCGAGGCGGCATCCAAGGACTTCCCCCCACTTCAACCAGGAACGCCATCTAAGAACAAGTGGGACGATTCGTCAACGCGAGCCGTGGTAACCGACCACGACCAAGGCGTGCCAATCGCGACGCTGCACCAGACGCCCACAGCGTTCCCAACGATTCCGGGCCTGGTAATCCCTCCAGGTACTGAAAACTTAAGTTCCCCGCGTCCCGTGGCCATTTCTGAGGAATCGCAGGCCAAGCCCTCGTCAGACGAAGCGCCTCGAGAAGACGGCGTCTCGGATGGGAATATTGCATCTGAGGCTCCTCGCGTTGCTGCTCAGTCGACAACAAGTTCAGGTGTCATCGAGGAGTCTACACCTCAAGACGACGACGCCTGCATCTACGAGGACTCCAACAGCACCACGAGTGAGGCGCCCCTACAAATTGACGAAGATGCCAGCTCCAGTGACATAAGCCAGGACAGTGGAGACGTCTTTGTACCATCCTCACTCAAAAACCCGGACACCAAACGCCACCGGATAACTACTCGTGACTTAGAAGCCCCCACCAGAGACAGAAGTCCCCTGCGGACTTCGACGCGATCCCGGAAGCCCCGAGCCTCCGGTGGATCGCCTGGCCGGAAAAAATGACTCAGCCACTTGCGGGGCATTGGCTCCCGCACCTCATAAAGGTACCCCTGCATTTGCGTGATCCTATACTAAGTTTTCATTTCCCCATGGCTCTTACTCTAAAAGTTATTACTTTTAACATTCAAGGTTTCCGAAATCCACAAAAACAGGCTGAGGTATTGGCTTTTGCACGTTCAGTGCACTGTGATTTGCTGTTCCTGCAAGAAACAAATTTTTTCAAGCTTTCTGATGTACTCGCTTTCAAGCGCGCGTTCAATTTTGATTGTTTCTTTTCGTACGCCAGCACGCATTCGACTGGCGTCGGAGTCGTTATATTTAACCGAGGTCTGTTACGTGACTATCATGTTTCCTTTCGATGCCTTCGGACGCGTGCTGGCGTTCGACTGCACCTTTTTTTCGTTAAGAATAAGATTTGTTGCCGTGTATGCCCCAGCGGCACGCGAGAACTCAAACGCGTTCTTCCAATCTCTTGATGCGTTCCTTTTAAATTCCCGACATGTGGTACTTTTAGGGGATTTCAATTGTGTCCTAGACTCACGGGCAGACGTTCGAGGTCCGGGTCGCGGCCGGTCAAACTGGAATGCCAGAGAACTCGAACGTCTAGTGCAGCAATTGGCATTGAGTGACATTCATCAAATTGTGCATGGCAGTAATTATGCCTATACTTGGCGTCGAGCAGCGTCGAGCAGCCGAATTGATCGCGTGTATGCATCCCCTAGTCTCATTACCTACGTTCACGACACCGGGGTAATGTCATTGCCACCGACACCGG